CCCCACATGGGCCTTAGCTCCGGCGGGTCCCGCGCTCGCCTCGGCTCCCCCATCTACCCTTCCTCCTCCGCTCGTTCGGACTCGGCTCCGGCCGCCTCTCGCGGTCCTGCCTTGCTCCGCTCCCAGCCCTACCAGTTTTTCCCTGTTTTCACCTTTCAGCAAAGAAAGAGAGCCTTTCTCTCTGCGCACCCGCGCGGGTCCCCTACAGCTGCGGCGAAGGCAGCGGTGGCGGCGGCGGCAATTCCAAGAGACGGGGCGGGGCCGCCACACTTTCCACACCCCGNAGCCCCACTTCCGGGATAGGTCCGGCGCGTCACAGGCACCGCCCTCCCGGGCTACCATTGGCTACAAGGTGCCCGAGGCCCCGCCCAGTCACGTGAAGAGCGCCCTGGCAACCCCACGTGCTGCGGATTAGTGTACTTCCGGCGTGAGGAGCGCTTTCTGGAGGCCGGTTGCTGGGGGGTGAACGCGCCCGCCGGGAAATTCGCTCGCTGGGACTTTCAGGGTCGCTGCGTTGGGGTTTCAGCCCAAGTTAACAGGAACCAAACCACGTGCGCTGCGGACCCTGCCCCCAGGTGCGTGCCGGTCGTCACGTGCCGGTCGTCAGCCCTCGGGAGGCAGAGACTCCTGCGGAGTCCCACGTGGCTGTGGAGGCGGCGTCGGAGGCCAACTCCAGCCCCCCTGGGTGGTCAAGCCCGCCGGCTCCGCGCTGTGGGCTCCTCCTAGGACCTCAGCCTCCCCTGGTGAGTTTACGGCAGCACCTGCCGCTGGGGGGCCTGCTGGAGTCAGCAGCCCTCTCCCACGTCCTTGAACTTCAGAAAACGCAGCAGTGAGCCGGCGGCTCTCACACGGTTGTGGAGGCGAATGGCGTCTGAGTCCCACCGCATGGTCCAGCCCAGGAGGGGGCTCTGCCAAGCTCGGCTTTTCTTTCTCACTGGAGGTGGCGTTCCCTTGAGTGAGAGGCGTGTCCATACCTCAGGGCAGTTGGGTTGTCTTCAAAGTCCACCTGGAGCCAAAAGGTATAGGATTAAGGACCAAGACTTTTTAAAAAAAATATATATCTTTATTGATTTCAGAGAGAGGAAGGGAGAGGGAGAGAGAAGCATCAATGATGAGAGAGTCATTGATCGGCTGCCTCCTGCACGCCCCCCACTGGGGATTGAGCCGGAACCGGCATGTGCCCTGACCGGGAATCAGACTGGTTGCTCAACCGCTGAGCCCCGCGGGGTCAGGCAAGGACCGAGGCTTTTAAAAGAGATGTGCTCCCCTTTGCACAACTCACCACGTTTTCTTACCTTGGAAAGGTGACCTCCACACCCCAGTCTACATGGCCCTGTGATAATTGTATTGCTTTCTCATGAATTGTCCCATTTCTCATATTCCTATGTGGCTCTGCAGTTTACACAGATATTTCACATATATTGTCTAACTTAGCCTTTACAATAAGCAAGTAAACTCCCGTAAACAGCTCAGCCTCCAGCTAATATAGAAAGAGCCAGATTAGAACCCTGGCTCATGAGCCTACTCTGCTATTCCTTACACCACCTAACCTTTCCCTGTCTTTTGTCATTGGAATGATTGCTAATGTTTAAAGAGTACTTATGTAAGCAGGAGATGCATTAACTGTTTTATGTGTGTCATTCCTTTAATCTTGACCTTCACTGTTACTTTTTTAACCTTGGGTTTATTAATTTATAATTTATGCAAAGTAAAATTTATCTTTTTTTAGTTATGAGTTTTGAAGAGCATAGGCAGTTATGTCACCTCCACTATAATCAAGATACAGAATATTTCCCTTATTCTAAACGTTTCCTCCTGCCTTTTTGTGGTCAGTCCTCTACCCCATACCCAGCCCCTGGTAATCATTAACATTTTATCTACATTTTTAGTTGCAGAAAATAGTAGAGAAAAGTTAATTTTCCCAAATCACACAGCTAGCAAGTCAGAAGGCCAAGACTGGCAGTTTGGCTCTACAATCACTGCATTAACTACCACCATATACTGCATTAACATATGATTTGGACTTGGAATCAAATGATCTATCTTCATTCATTCAACAAATACAGTTGATACTAGAGAAGTCACTGGAACACTAAGTCAGTACTGAACCACTGCTCACAGGGGAAATACAGAGTTAGGTTCCTATGAGCCTCTGGTCACAACATTTTCATCAATTGCCCAATATATAATCTTGTTTTAAGTGTGTTTCTGTTTTAAAACCTTGTTTAATATGTATTAATTCATTAACATTTAACTCTCAGCCAACAGCACTATCATTCATGCTCAAAAGAGGCTTGTCTAACCCACGTATTTTCTCTGTAAGGCACATCACAGCCTCCATGTGCTCAAAAACACTGGTCAGCACTTCAGCACTATGTTTGGGGGCCATTTTAAACAGCCACGTCACCAACAAAAGTCACAAAAATATGAAAAAGTGGCACTAATAGACTCAAAAATACTTTATTGTTTGACAACCGAGACAAGAAAGCAGAGTATTATCTTGTTGGACATCAGCCAGGAAAATGTGTGTTGTATGACTCAAATCTTTCACTGTTCTGTGCACAACCACAAATGATCGCAAAAACATCTCAAGTATTGATTTTGAGGTTACAAGTAAATTTAGCAAGTAGGGAAATTCACAAATATGGAATCTATGAGTAATGAGGATTGACTTATTTTTGTCCATACCCAAGGACATGTTTATTGATTTTAGAGAGAGAAGAAGGGAGAGAGAGAGAGAAATATCTATGTGAGAGAGAAACATCAATCTGTTGCTTCCCATACATGTGTCCCAGCTGGGGATCGAACCAGCAACCCAGGCCTATGCCCTGACCGGGAATCGAACCCACAATCTCTTTTGGTGTACAGGATGATGCTCCAAACAACTGAGCCACCTGGCCAGGGCAAGAGTTGACTATATTTTATTTAGCACCCTTAGTACTGAAATGGCCATATTGACCAAGACAGCCTTTTGTTTATTAGGTACTTGCAGTCTAGTGCAGGATACAATCTAGCAGTTTTAATTGATATAATAAAGGCTACTAAAGAAATAACTATAGGGTGCTGAAAAAGGGGGCTCCTCATCTAGTCTAGGTGTTGTCCAACTGAAATATAATTCAAGCCACGTGTTATTTTTAGTTTTATTGTAACCACATTTAAAAAGCTAAAAAAATTAATTTCAATAATATATTTAACTTAACCCAATATATCCAAAATATTATTTCATATATAACAAGTATAAAAGTTATCTTAAGATAATTTTACTTTTTTTTTTAAATACTAAGCCTCAAAGTCTGATGTAGAGTACATCTCAATTCAGATTAGCCACACTTGAAGTGCTCAATAGCTATGTATAACTCATGGCTATCATACTGGACGTCACAGGTCTAGAAGATTTCAAGACTTCTCTGGCAGTGATATCTTAATTTGACACCTGAGAAATGAGTAGAAGTTAGCAATAAAGAGGGTTTGGAAAAGGCACTTTAGGCAAAATGATTGGGAGTACAAAGACCTATAGGTGACAGACATGTGGCATCATCCTGGACCACAAACTGTTTAATGTGACTAGTGCATACTGTAAAAACAGATGGGTGAATTTGGGTTTTCTCCCAAGGGCAATAGAGAAACATTGAAACAGTACATAGAAGAAAATGACAAGGACATATTTTTTATTTAGAAAGACCATGGATAATTTTTTTAGGAGGAGAAAATATTGGAAATAGGAAGCCAATTAGGAAGAAATAGTTAATGTTGGTGAACAAAGGTAGTGATTGTGAGAACATAGAGAAGGCAGATTCAGGAGAATTAAAAAGGAGTATAGAAAGAATGTCATAGTTGAATGTTGGGGGTTAAAGTGGGAAGGGAGACAATGCGTGTGAAGAAGAGGAAAGCATGAAGTTAAAAACTGGGAGGATGTTGGTACCATTTATTGAGATAGGAAATATAAAAGGAAAAAGCAAGTTTCCAGGGTAAATTGAGTTCATTTTTGGTCATTTTGAGTTTAAGCTTCCTGTGGGAAAGAGGTATATCTTAAATAAACATTTGTGAATCATCAGTATATAGATCAAGGGTGGGGAACGTCTGGCCCTGCCAAGGCAATCTGAGGCAGGACTCGAAATTCAATAAACCTAGATTCTTTTTGCATAGCTAATTTTTAAGTTGATAATTTTGTATGGCCCGCGAATGATGTTATAAATGTCCAAATGGCCCTTGGCAGAAAAATGGTTCCCCACCCCTGATATAGATGACGGTTAAAGCTAAAGCAGGAGACTCTTCAGTTTTAAGGACACACACAGACTGAAAGTAACAGGATGGAAAAAGTCTATGCAATTAGAAACCAAAAGAAAGCTAAGGTAGTATATATCAGCCAAACAGACTTTGAGGACTGTAATAAGAAACAAAGAAGTTCATATAATGATATAGGGGTCAATGCAAGAGAATATAATATTTGTAAATGTTTATGCACCCAACATAGGAGCACCTAAATATACAAGGCAGATGTTAACAGATCTCAGTTGATACCACAGAAATACAAAGGAGCAGAAGAGACTCTATTAACAATTATATGCCAAACAATTGGACAACCTAGAAGAAATTGATAAATTTGTAGAAACAGTCAATCTACCAAGACTGAATCATGAAGAATNTATACTCAGATGAGGATTTTTTTTAAAAGTAGAAAACCTATATAGATGGGTCACTAGTAAGGAAATTGGAACAGTAATCAAAAACCTCTTAAAAAACACAAATCCAGGACCAGATGACTTCACTGGTGAATTCTAATATTTAAAGAATTCATTGCAATTCTTCTCAAACTTTTCCAAAAAATTGAAGAGGAAGAATCACTTGTAAACTCATTTTATAAGGCCATCATTACCCTGATACCAAATATCAAAAAAGGATACTACATGAAAAAGAAATTACAGGTCAATATCCCTGATATGAACACAGATGAAAAAATCCTCAAAAAGATATTAGCAAACCAAATTCCATAGTACATGAAAAGTATCATACACCATGATGGAGTGGAATTTATTCCAGGAACGCAAAGGATGGTTCAGCACCTGTAAATCAGTCAATGAGATACATCACATTAAAAATATGAAAAATAAAAACTATATGATTATCTCAATAGAAGCAGACAAAGCATTTGAGAAAATTCAACATCCATCCATGGTAAAAACTCTCAACAAATTGTGTATAGAGGGACTTTACCTCAATATAATAAAGGTCGTATATGACAAGC